TAGGTCAAATTAAAAACTGGAGATCTTGGGTTCGAAATCCGATTCTGGAATGGAAGCTAGACTTGTGGTCAGGGGAATACCAAAATGCCTCTACGAATCTTCCTGACCCCCAGAAAGGATGGATAATCGTGACTTATCATCAGTTGTCCCCTTTTTGAAAAGAAAAGGAAATCTTTGTAACTAACAACAACCATATCACTCCGATGCATGCCCACAAAGTTAAATCTCCTTTGTTTTTAATAACTCCTTACACATAAGAATTCAACGGTATTCTATGAACTTGGCTCACACCCTAATGTATTGGAGAATAGAAAGTTGGAGCAATGATCCATGAACTTGGCTCAATTAGAACTTTAGTCCCTGAATTAAAAATTTGAGTATTGGTTTCTTAACTTGTTATAATGTGGAGCAATAACTTTTTCGCCAACTTCATTATTCATTGATCCAAAATAAATAGTTTAAAGGAGCAAAAAATGAATAAAAGTTCTAGCAGAGTTGGCCAAAAGAATCATTGCTCCACATCATTACAAGTTCGGAAACCAATACTCACGAATTTTCGTCCAAAGATCAAAGCTCCATTTGAACTAAAATGGAAGGACCATAGCTCTAATGACCTCTCTATCGAAGAAAACCAGAAACATGCAACTAACTACTAACATTTGCTCATGTCAAATAAGTGGTTTCTCAAAAGTCGACCAAAAATGGCAAGGAACACAAAACCCTAGCAATTTTCATTAAATTTCACAATCTGACATCACTTCCGTACAAGGAATTTGATACCAGGTTCTGCAAGTAAACATCAAACACAGAAGATTCTCTGGCAACTTGGTACTCCATGTAACTGCAGTTTCCTCTCACTTATATGCAGTCATGACGTTGTGTTTCCCAATTGCAAACTTCTTTCAGAACACACTTTTTTACCATTAAAAGGGAAAGTAACATGTTCAAACTTTTAAACTACCTGCTCAACAAAATGACATATTTTGGAAGCCAATTAATTGCCCTATCATACATAAAGATTTTTGGCCGCTAAATCTTGGTTATTGGATTCTCGACCAAGAAACTAACGGCTAAAAACTCAGTGCAAAAGATATTTCGGAGCATACTACAAAATCTCCGTACATATATAGTTCCAGCAAACACAAAAGAGGGAAAAGAAATATTCCCCTTCTTTATTACAGCCAATCCTTCAGCTCGTTCACAGAAAAAGGGAAAAGAACTGTCAAGGGAACTCAAACAAGTATTAATTGCACAGGCAAAAGTAAAAGTTAGCGTATTAGAAAGATGATTAGGAAATAATCCAGCGAATAGGGAAAATTAATTCCGTAATACAGAAGTAATGAACTTAAGAGGAAGCAACATGTTTTGAAGAACATAAAGTTGATAAACAAGGACATCAACTCCAGCAAAAGAGAAAGAACAAGAACATCACAAGACACCCAAAATTATTGTTCTAGGAAAAGAACAAGTTCGATCAGAACAACTGCGTAAGGTTGGTTACTTGAAAACAAAATTCAACCCACGAACAAAGACTTCTAACCAATTAATTCACCCCAAAGCATCTTACAGAAGAACGAGAAGAACATCCGTTTGGTATCCATTGAACTACAACAACAAAGTCTTATCTTACTAAGTGGGGTCAGCTGTATAAATCTAAGAACGCTTGTGCCAAGTCTTTCGTTAGCTCCAAATACTCAATTTAACTACTAGATATAGAAATTCAATCATACTATCGGTTTCGCCATCATAATCACAATGATGAACACAATAAACTCAAAATTCTGCACCCGAAACGACTAAATCTGAACACAGAACCACATACACACTGTGTACTCCGCTTCGAATACACATAAGCTCATCTCGACAGGTAGATCTATACTCTAAAAATTCAATCATCCCAATTCTCATCACATATATTATCAAACACTAAACGTTATGTTAACCAACATGGAAAATATTAAATTTTCAACCAGTAATTAATAAGTTAAATAAAATATAAAGCTTCAAACTTTAGTAAAAACAAAAGCAGGTCATAGATCATAGATCATGTATGTTCAAGTTCGGAATTTAGGAAAGTAAAACCATAATCTAGATAAATAATTAATTCCCCATTTAATTCCCTGCAGTCAACCACCAATAGCACATACAAACAAAATAGCAAACGCAAATTACCCACAAATCTGGTTTTATTTACCTTCTAAAAAAATATAAACAAGCTTTTTGCCTTCCGGGTTCAGTTCAGAAGCTGGAAAAAACCCCAAAAATTCAATCTTTGTTCAGTTCAGAAGCTGGAAAAAACCCCCCAAAAATTCAATCTTTCCCATATTTTCCCACACTTTCTCAGCAACCAAACAGAGCAGTTCAAAAATACCAGCAAGAAATTAAAAATAAATAAAGAGAAGAATGAGAGAGTGAGCGCTGGATGCAGAGGTTTATCGACCGATTCATGTTCTGTGTTTTTTTCACAACAAATCTCATAAACAGATCGATGAACCGCTGCCTCCAGTGCACTCCCACCCCACCCCAACAACCAATAATTATTTCATAAATTAAAAAATTAAAAAGAAAAAACAAAGACAAAAATATGTCAATCACCAACCGTAGATCTAAGAAATGAGAGATCTCACAACAAAATCAGAGATCTCACAGCAACATTATATACAATAATAATAATATATACTTACATACATACGCTGATGCATGTATTTATAGGGTGTGAGAGAAACGGATTCAACCCAGGAATCTGGAGAATCGCATCACGCATACTCTCTCTCTCTCTCTCTCTCTTCTCTCTCATGAGTTTGTTAATAACTTAACAAGAAATGCTAAATACGCTCTCTCAAAAGTGTCTCAAAATCGGACTCTTGACTCTTTATCGCCTTTTATTTTTTACACAATATTTTATAACGTTGACAACGAAAATTAACGTTCAATTAGAAAGTGCATAAAATCATCTACTTTGAAGAGTCTGACAACGAAAATTAACGTTAAACTAAAAAGTGCATAGAGCCGTTTTACTTTAAAAGAATGACATCGAAAATTAACGTTAAATTAAAAAGTGCATAGAATCGTTTTTACTTTGAAAGAGTCTGGTTAACATTTCTCTGACTTAGTCACGGACCGGATGTAGTACAGTGTCTTTTCAAGGGGTATTTAAGGCAATGTAGATTTTGAACGAATTAATAAAGAGATCAAAATTATATTTAAGTTACAATTTGGTCTGAGAAACACCGAACTGCAAACCCTGTAGAACTCCTGTTCCCTCTCTCTCTCTCTCCCACAGTTTGCATCTCATCGTCTCTCTCTTGGCAATGGCAAACTCATATGCCCTCTCCTCAACCGGACCACCTTCCCTCCTAAACCAAATTCCCCAGCAAACCACCACGACGCACCTGCTGTGCAAACTAAGGCGTTAACCAAAGCTTGAGACCTGTTTAACCCAAAGGAAAACGAACTTCAGACGGACAAGCATTAAAAAAATGGAGGCAAAGAGAAAGAGAGATGAAGTGGCGGGGGCTGGGTTTTAACGGAGAGAACGAGAGTGACGCCGGCGCCGGTGAGGGGCGCTGGGTTTGACCGATGGAGAAGAGAGAAAGGCAGATCGAAAGATCATTCTGATGGGTCACGATTTTTCGTCGTACAGCTTCAATTTTTAATTACAACCGTTCAGATTAATCCAATGGTTATTAAATAAAATGTATAAATAACATGTGTATTTACAGATGTACGCTACAGAAGCCCTCGTTCGGACTACTCCGTCCCCCAATCGTAAAAGCAATACGCAAGTGACAATTTACCACAGTGGTGGAAGATGTTGAATTTTTGCATGACAGTAATGTTGAGTCCTTACATAACGACGTGAGTTCAAACTTCATCGGTGGCTAATCTAACATCTAATTTAAAAAAATTTATCGTTTAAAAAAAAAAAAAATCATACAACCAATACATCAAATAAATAGATAATAATTAAATGAGGTGAAAGATCTATGCCGTCCATTAATAGGTGAAAGAAGCCTAACGATCAAAGGATTCAAGCTATTGAAATTTGATCCAACGGTTACAATTATTATAACTTTTAAATGATCTCTTGTTTGTAGTTGTTGAATTAAATTTTAATTGTTCAGATCTTTTATTCAGAATACTCAATTTATTTGGATCTGGAAGGAATCTGGTTCCTACATCGAGGGACCCAACGCAGTCCACGGCTCAACTTCGTCTATGAGGATTGAGGACCAAAGCTCATACAGACCGATTGAGGACCAAAGTTCATACTGGAAAATAACTTACTTATATGTAGTGAATAGAGTCTTGTGCTCTTTTACTCGTCACGTGATTAGTGAGACTTTTAGTCTTTGACAAGGAATTTTACTCTTTCTATTGGGGCTACATATTATTTGGAGTTACTGTTTTTTTCTTCACTATTTGTTGTCATCTTAATTATAAAAATTGAACTACACTTCACAAATTTGACCTACTCAAATATTTTTCCAACTTCCACAACTACATTCTATGTTAAAGAATCGACGCAACAATTTACTCTTTTGCATTAAACTCAGAGACTTCTATTGTACAAAGTGGACAAAATAATCCCTTAATTTGATGAAATAACTGACAAATTAACGATCATAAGACATTTGAACGAATAGAAAGTTTAGAGAGGTTCAAAGCCAAATTAAAAATTCAGAGGACAAAGTGAAACAAGACCTAAATTCGTTAAATTCTTCCCAAACAACGAAAGAGACTTGTCATTTAGATTAATCATTAAGTTAAACTTGATGGACAAGAAATTTAAGCAATCTCAATACTAATTCATAAAAGGGTGATGTAAAGTCGGCTTTTATGGATGTGGCCATCTCTAAGCAAAGCAAAGCTAAAGTAAAACTCCACATCTTCAAAGTAAAAAAGAAGATTAAACAAAAAGATATGAAAAGAAAAGTCACTGCTTTTGCCACTTTCCATCATGTCTTCCACTCATACAAGCATACAGTGAAGCTATGGCCACCAAAAATCATACATTATCTTTGTACTATGTACATATATATACATATCTCTCTCTATATATTTTGCATCTAAATGCAACTTGAATTGTCTGCTTCTAAAATTTCTATAGCCATGGAAGCAACATCACAAACACTGCCTGGTTCAGCAGGCGATCAAATCTTGGGTGGTGGTGGTAGCAGTAATAATATCCCCCAAGCAGTACCCTTAGTTTCTTCTTCTTCTTCGTCTTCGGGTTCCATTGGGCCATTCTTTGCAGTGATCTCCGTCCTAACGATCCTCGCAGTTCTCTCGTGCTTTTTGGGCCGGAGGCTGACTCGTGATCAGATGGTACCGACTCCGGTGGAGAGCATCAGGGATAGAATCGATTGTTTCGGGTGGTTGAAGCGCAAGTGCCGGCAGCTGCAGTGCATGGTTGCTCATCATGACCTCGAAGTTGGATCAAAGGTGATGGTCATGGATCTGAGTCAAGAAAAGAAAGGTGATGCTAGGGTTAAAGAAGGTGACCATGAAGTTCCTCCCCAGAAGGCTTGATTGTATATTTTGAAGATGTAATGTTCTAATTGGGAGATGGGTTAAATTGTTAAATGTTAGGGGGAAGGATATCAGTGAGAATTGAACATTATAATGCATAAGTATTATTGCTTTCTGCCATTGAGGTAAAACGTCATCTGCTAATCTATAGCATTCTTAAGGTTCTTGTATTTGGTCACATAATTAATAAGAAATTGATTGATATTATGTACAATATTAATCTTTTTTCCTAGGATGTATCATGTATAATATTTAGCATAAAATGTTGATTGACTTTACTTTAATTTTGATAGACACGGTTGCAGAAAATTATTCAAGAAATAACAAAAAGTAAAGTCTGTTACAAATTTAAATGGAGCTCCAATTTAAAACCTCATCTTAATTCTGTGGTTTTATTGATCCATCAAATTATTTCGATTCTATTTAAAACAAATTTAAATTTATGTGGTATGATTTCTTTGTATTATTATTTGGTATGTATATTAATTGGATTGGAAGCACTGTTGAAGGCTTAGAGAGCAAGACACCTCAACTGAGCTGTACATGGGAATCATGGTTGAAAGTGTTACTAAGGATGAAGATTAGGTTTGACTTGCATGCATGGATCCAGCCTTGCACATCCTTAATTAATATTTTCCCTTAATTCGGCTGCTTTGATTCAACAATACCATAAAAATTTCAATTGAAACACGGTCACATTGTGTTATGCAAACTATAACATGTGTAGTTTTTTTATTTTATTTTATTTTATTTTTTAAATACACAATTTAAAAACAAGACATCAAAACTATATCGCCACTCGTATCATAATATACTTTAGAATTATACATCACGACAGATATTCTAAAGGAAGGGTGATTATCTCAGATCCCTTTGACCAAAAACCAAAAAAAAAAAAAAAAAAAACCCAAGAAAAAGGGCCCAAAATTTAGCTTCCTTCCTAGAAGCCTTCTAGTCATATGATTCCATATGCGTGTGACAAAAAAGGCAAAAAAGGAAACCACCGACTCATGTTCCTGTCCTTAGTTGTCTTCCCCCCACACCATATTTAGCCTTCAAATTCTGTTCACCACCCAAAAAACCATCTCTCTCTCTCTCAACACACCAAACCAAACCACCACCTTCATCTCCTCCGCCTCCACAACCACCTCCTAACACCAAATATTGCCACGTTGTGCTACAAACCATACGTTCCAATTAACTGTTGGCGCATTGTATCACATTTTTTGTTGTAACGATATTTATAACCCTAATGCCTGCACTACGAGTTGATCAAATCAACCAGCTAAGAAACATCTTTGCAAGATTCGACTTTGTCTCCGACGGCAGCCTCACCGTCTTGGAGCTTGCCACGCTCCTCTGCTCGACCTCAGGCCCTCCGGTGACCAAGTCCACGTCCTCCTAGCCAATATGGATGCAAACGGCAATGGCTCCGTGGAATTCGACGAGCTGGTTAGTGCCATATTGCCCGGAATGGACGAGGAGATTTTGGTAAACCAAAAGCAACTCTTGGAGGTTTTTCGCTCTTTTGAACATGACGGCAACGGTTACATAACTGCGGCAGAGCTGGCAGGGTCCATGGCGAAAATGGGGCAACCGTTGACGTATAAGGAGCTGAAGGAGATGATCAAAGAGGCTGATACGGATGGAGATGGTGTCATTAGTTTCAATGAATTTACTACAATAATGGCGAAATCGGCGTCGAGTTTTCTAGGCCTTGCTGCCTCATGACCTGAGGTATGATCTATAGAAATCTGATGGTACATGTTCTTCTCACCTGGTTATCGACTGACGTAGATTTTGCATCTTTGTTACGATTTTGTTTAATTTCTGACCAACAAACTGACAATCTAAGTACTTTTTTTTTCATTAATCGGTGAGTTTTGTTGCTCTTCGTTTTATGTATGCGTATGCAAGCGCTTTTCCGAAGCAGTCTCAAACATTCGCTAATCCTTTCTTTATTGAACATTGTGTGTTATGATACATCGGATACATCATACATGATACAATATTTTGACTATACTATTCTCTACATGAACATTAAAGCTAGATCCTTGGAGCTTTTGGAAACCGAACTATCCTAAGCGAAAAACTTGGAAGGACACGACTGCTTCAGGTTCGACTCAACCCTTCATCTCTGGGAAGACGCTCTTGAACCATTATGTAAAAGAGAAGAAACTTCTTACTGGTATAATGTACATTCTTTGGATAGGAATGTGAAAACATGGGCGCTGATTAATGACCCTCGAGCTTCTCTCCAAAGCGTCTAGATGTTGCTTCGATGCGGGCTGTGTAACCTACTGTTGTGCTTCTTAGGGACCTCTGCCGCACCATTTGACAGAACTCGGGGTCATCTGATTGCCCATCTGTTCTTATCCACTGTATCATCTGATGATACATTGGGAAAAACCGCATTTGGATGGCTGCGTAAATGAAGTATGGCAGGAGGGAAGAGACCAGAACAAACAGCGTGAGAAACCAATAAAATGGAGCCGGTGCGCAGGCTTCAATGAACACCTTATACGCAGTGGTCGATATGTTGGGGTCAAGGGCTCCATATGCCAACTGGAATATATACCAGAACACAATGCCACCCCAGATGAAGAGATGTTGTATGTAAGTGAAGTAGTTGATGGACAGCGCCATCTGACAGTTGACGACCCATACCACGCATGAGTACATTGTGGCACCAAAGATCTCCAAGCCAACCACTTGCCCGCCTTTACGAAAGGCTTGACTGCCCATTGCCACCATGCAGAAGAAGAAGACTAGGGTAGCAGTCACCACCCCATTCATTGCCCATCCAAGTATTCGGAGCCAACTAAATAAGACATTTTGTGTACCTTCTTGGTACAATAGCGGGAACTGTAAGAGAGAGAGAGAGAGAGAGAGAGAGAGTAAAGATCAGCAAAGGATCATATGCTATATTTCTGATTGCAAATAAGACTCATGAATTTCTCTCCAGTTATCTTTTCAAGTAAGGAGAACTTACCTTGAGACATAACTTGGCCGAGACATCTTGGTCAAAAACTCCCAAGGCAATCACTGGAAGTGACGTGAAGAAGACATTGTATAGTGACAGATACCAATCATTGTATGCAGTTTGGCCGGAGAATGAAGCATAGATCTGATAGAAGAAAATGGTGAAGCCAAAAGCAATGTTCTTGTAGAAGAAATAGCATATCTGTCAGACAAGAAAAGAAGCATGTCAACAACATATACTATAATTGTACATATAAATTCTAAATATAACAAGTCCGTATTTTCTTCTCTCCAAGTGCAGGATGGGACTGCGCGTGAGGTGGTGTATGTCAGCTTTCATATAACTAAAGTTTTTGACGTCTAATAGTTGCCTAACAAGAATGATGGAATCCAGAATAGCTTCTGAATGTATTACAGATTAATACAAAGAAAATGAGATAAAAAGATAAGCTATTATTTGAATTCTAGAAAGAAAAGAATTTACCATTGATGAGATTCTTCTGTAACACCAATGGCCATGTACAAGTAGCAGGCGCTCCAAAAATCGGAACTGTGCAATTGCAATGTCGCTTGACATGACTGCCTGAAATTTTTGATTGGCAGAAAGGATAAGTCAGAATTCATCATGCGGAAGAAATTTGAAATACAAGTAACAGATGATGAGTGCAATTTGTTAAGAATTTACCTGCATTCCCTCAACACCACTGATACCAACTCCGATATCTGCTTCTTGAAGCATTCCAACATCATTTGCCCCATCACCAACGGCCAGAGTTGTGTTGCCAGTTTTATCTTTTACCAGCCTTGTAACCTGCATTATTTCAAATAGAACTATTTAGGACTCAATTCTTTTCAAAACCATATATCTATGAAAATGATTTTATACTTTTGGAACTTATTTAGTGGCGGCAAAGGGGAAAAACTTACAAGTGCTTTCTGTTTGGGAGATGAACGACAGCATATAACAGATGCGCAGCCGATGGCAAGCTCTAGAAAGAGGTCCTTGACATCGTTCTCTAAGGCATAAGTGAGGGAATTCCCATCAATGATCAAAGCTAATGCCTCAGAGTTCTCTTCTGGTGCAGCAAGCAAGGCCTTCCCTGACTTATTTGATGGACTACGCTTTCCTTCAATGCCTGTAGATCAGCACAGTTTCATTAAACTCTCACAGCATGACATTTTATCAGCCAAGAGAGAACAGTTTCGAACCCTAGCATGTTAAAAGTCCGATTTAAGCATCAATGCAATAACTAAAACACGAATCTATAATCCATTTACAGCACTACAGCCTGAATCACATATTACGCCATAAGATAGCTGAAGTGGAAGAAAGAAGAATATTGCATAAGAAATTTGGTTTACCTTGGTTACTGCCGTCTTATCCTCCACCTTCTCTAATGCTTTAGCTTCTGCAGTCTCGGAGCTTATTACTATTTGTTTCATTCCTTGTCTAAGCAAACTGCACGCATATCTGGAAAGAGAAAAAGCAAGCGAAAAGGTATGCAGTGATAAATATTTGTATACTGAAATCCATCTTCTCTTACAAAACTGTTCACTAATCATGTACCCAATATTAATCGCTGTCTCCATTTTATCTCCAGTCAAAACCCATATTTTAATTCCAGCCTGAGCAAGCTTGTCAATGCATTCGGGAACCTGTTCAACACAGAAAAGAACAAAAGGAAAAAAATGATATTTAGTCTTGAATGCTATACAAATCTCCAACAAAGTCATTACGAGCAGTACCAGGCTACCAGTAAAAATTAAAACGCACCCCATTTTGAAGTTTGTCTTCAACTGCAGTAGCACCGAGAAGAATCAAATCCCTCTCGATCTTCTCCGAAACTTCCTCGACAATTTCCTCCTGATCTGAACTCACCAACGTTTTGGCCACAGTGAATTCTTTGTTGAACTCATCATATTCTTCTTCGTCAAGTTCGCGATATGCAAGTACCAAAGTCCTCAAACCAGCATCAGCATACTCATTAATGTGTTCCCTAGTCTTCTCTTCAAACTCCCTTCCGTTATTTGCAAGTCTTTCAAACATGACACTGTTTGTGGAATAAGCACATTATATATAATGCGTGGAACAACAAACACAATTTCATTTGATCATCAAGAAACTCAATTAGACTAGCAAGGAGTAAGTTAACAGACCTGTCAGCGCCTTTGCACAGCAGTAGTATCTTACCCTCTTCATTTCTTACGATTACAGACATCCGCTTTCTTGAA